GGGCCTGGCAAGGTGGGCGCCTGCCGGGGGTGCAAAATATGGAGTAAGAATTGGGGGTGCAAAATTTGATATAATTAAATTTTAAAATCTAGGGAGGGGGGCGCAACTTTTTATTTTACCAGGAGCGCCGCTATTGAACGGCCCAGCTTTGCTTTGCATCCACACATTTATTCATTTGTTATACGAATTGAATGACCTTCGATTACTCTCTTGTTATTCGTATAAGCCTTGATATTAATTTGAAATAATATGAATTTTCATTAAGTTACATTGCCGCCGAATGATTCTTCGTATTCGATCTAACTCCAACCACCTTTTAATATACTGTGGGGTTTTCAAGTGCTGAACATAAACTTGTTAGGGCTGAATGGGCTGATAGCTCACAACATACCTAATCAAACTGTGAAGGTATCAAGCTGATAATGGTAACCGTCAAAATTCACAATACTGGGGCAAGGTACACACCGTAGACAGAGTCTTCATATTTAATAATTTACAATTTATGAACATGTTTACACACGAATATCTCGCTAAATACTAGTCTTATGGGAGGGGGGTTCCCTCCCATCTAGCTACGTCATTTTTTTTATCTCCCATCTTTCAGAAATCGTGTCTACGTCACTGGTCTTACAAAATAAATCATAAAATTATTATAAATTAAGCGTATAAGATGTTGTGTTTTATAAATAAAAATTCTTAGAAGTTACAAATTAATACCATCATGTTATTATTTTTATAGTTTTTAATTTCTATGTGCCAATGGTCTGTAAAATATATTTATGTGTAAAAGGACTCATACCCGTCGATAATAATAAATTAATTAAAAATGAATTGAAAAAAGTGTGTTTCGTACCATTAAACTAAATACATAACAGCATAATTATTTATATATCATTAAAAGAAAAACATGCTTTGGGACTCATTGCATCGGGTCCCGGGTGCTACCAAAGTTTTTGATCACTCTTGATTGCGCCGCTGGTATATGCTATATTTTATTATAAGCTATAGGTACAACTGTTGGTTATAGAAATACAGAAATAAGCCGTTGAAAGAGTAAAATATTCATCGCAGGGGTGTACAATATATAGCGTCATTTCGTCGCGCACATCATCGACCTTAACGTATAATATTATACAGGGGCCAAATTATTTAGATTCGAACGATCGACGGCGGCTGCTGACTATACGAGTACGTGTGTCCTCGGGACATCGCATCTCGTCTCGCAGCAGGAATTTCGCTGTGTATTACTGTTTCTGTATTCTGTTTAAACATACACTCATGTATATACATATATTATATTGATATGAATTGTGGCGGTGGTGTTGTTAACGGTGGTGGCAGTCGTGGTGGTTAACAAACACAAACACACACTCGCTAAATTGCAGGAAAAACAAGGCGACGAATACATCTAAACTCGTCATCGTCGTCGTCGTTGTCGTATATACATAGCAGCTAGGCGAAATTCATTTTCTGCCCGCGGCGGCTACACAAACACAATATACCCGTTTGCGTAGGTTTCCGTGGGCGTGTGGGTGTAAGTATGTGTGTGTCTGTGTGTGCGCAGTGTACACTATTTACGAGCGGTTTTTCGTGGGGTGAAGATTGTATTATACACGCGTGTATGACGACGGATATCGCACATCTGTCACGCACAAAACTACGCGATGTCAAACACTTTTATAATATACGCATATATCCGCGAAAAAGTAGAATAATATTATAATGTATATCATCTGTATAAAGGTATAAATGATAAAACAATATAATATATGAAAAATCATAATATAGATGATGAGATAAAAACGAGATGAAATTTAATAAATCAGGGTATACTAAAGTAACCTTGCTGTATATAATCGCAGGTAAGTTTCAAACGTGTCTCGTTATTGAGTTGGTCACTGCTGTAATCATTTATTTATTATTGAGTAAAATTTGAATTCGACGATGAGATGTTTACGGTTGAAAACAATTGTGAGCGGAGATGGTATGTCAATCTACATTTCTTAACTTTCTAACTCTCTAATGGTTTTACTATATTAGAAATTTGGAACTTCGATAGTCGATCCCGAAGCATCATATAATTAATAGGTACGTGTAGGTAGGTTCCCCGTAAGAGGGGGGGGGCTGCTGGACCTTGAATACAGGGGCACGCTGAAATTAATTTGTAATTTGTAATTTTTGACATTTTGATAGTTATACTTATTATATAGGGCTCACAAATAAATTTAGTACAGGGGTCACAATATTTGATACGGGAGGTCTGAGTATAGGTACCTACGCTAAATTATAATCATAAGAAAAATACTCTGTGTGTGTTTTATTGCGGCCTTTTTTCCGGCTGCTATGCTTACACRCCGCAAATGTCTATAATAATAACACGCGATTAATAACGACGTGACCGGCAGTGTGTTATATTCTTAGATCATATACGCTGGATAGAGCTATAATTTAAAATCTTGAAGCATAGCAGTTCGGGCCCGAAGTCATCACTGCACATGTGTAAAACTGTTTTATGATAACTGATAACAAAACACAAAATAATATTATAAGATATAACCGTCGTTATATACATTATAATATGCACATTATTAGTTCCTTCTCCGTCCCGCGCGATCTATTTCATTTCTCATGCATGCGCAATAAGTACTTCGGACCTGAACAGGTCTGCTTCAAACACGGACTACGCGTGATATACGCTGTATAAGTGTACTCGTATATGATCTAACGTTATATTATACTGCCACCTCTGAACTACATTTTGATGGATTTTTTTTTGGCCCGAGGTTTTTTAGCTTTTCCCTCTTTATCTTTACTCCACTATATTGTAAAGTGTACTTGCTGCAAACGCGATTATAAATTCTAATAAGTGTTTACACAATTTATCGCTTTTTCGTTTACATTAGACTATCGTGCTTTTTATTTTCATCTCATGCACCGGCCGGTACCTACACTGTTCACTCTCTCTCTTTTTCACCCTTACCGTATATTATACATGAATACTCACGTTAGTACGTCACACTATTTTATGAAAAACCATAGCACAAAGATAAATACTTATGGCTTCCATTGGCTGTTGTTATTTGTTAAGTCTAACACTTATCAAATGATTCTTATTTTTATGGCATATTTATGTATATTTATGTATTTAAATTRTTATTATGAATAGCACTTACAACGTGGGAAAAACCAGGATACAAAATATATATGATGTACAATATTTAAAATATAAGATGCAATATATTATTCGGGCTGACTCTAGAAGAGAAAATTGTGTGTCAATATAACAACATAGTTTATAGCCTATATCGTTTAGTAGTTCGTATTAAGAATTGATACTTGTAAGTATATGTCGAATATCATAAATAAATGCATACATTATGTATACAAGTATATTTATAATTTATAAATGTATATCATACTTCGTGTAAATAACGCTCGTAATTTGTATTTACTACAGTTCAGTATGAGGTCATATCTCATATAACACAACAAAAAACTCTAGCGACTTATGAAAATATAGAACACTATTATAATGTGATTGCAGTCTTCCAAATTTCGGGGACAAAATGATTCGTGTATGACGATATGTTCTCGGTTT